CAGAGGGCAGCAGGGGGAGGCAGGGAGGGGAACTGGACGGGGCAGTGGGGAGAAAGGTTTCCGGAGATGCTAAGGGGGTGCAAGACAAGCAGGGGAGATAGTGAGGGAGAAGCAAAGAGGGGGTGCTGGACACTGGATGGGTGGGGTGGGGTATGGCAGCGAGGGGTCCCCTTCGCCCCGCCCAAGAGGCAGCCCAGCAGGAGCAGCGGCCCCTGCTGACTCAGCCTGTCCCCGCCAGGTGCCAGCGGCTACGCCAAGCCCCCTGGCCTGCTGGGTCCCTACGGCCGCGCCTTCCCCGAGTACCCCTGGAACTTTAACCCGTACCTCACCGGCCCCTTCCCCAAGCTACCCCCTTCTCTGTACCCCCCGCACTTCTACCCCAACCCTCTGGCCAGTTCCCTGGGCCACCTGCCCGCGGCAGGGGCAGGGGGAGGCCCCACGGCCGCACCCCTCCTCGCTGCAACTGGCGAGGGCCTGGGCCCTGAGCGCCCCTCGGGCTTGGCCACGGCCCCCCGCCTGGCACTGCCGGGGGCCGGGGGGCCCGAGGCTGCGCTGGGCGGGAAGGAAGACAGCGACTCAGAGCTGGAGATCACCGACGTCAGCGGCTGCAGCTCTGACAGCGAGGGCGACGAGGGCCTCCCCGTGCCCCCCAAGGCCAAGGCTGGCAAAGCGGGGGTCGGCAGCTGAGTTGGTGTAGGGCGATGGATTCTGCCAAGGCGAAGACCGGGGCAGCCACGTGTGCGTGTGCAACCTCTCTGTCATCTGGTCTCCCCAGTGTCCCGCCCAGGCCGGGAGTGGCCCTTGGCACCCGCCAGGGCCGGCTGTGTGGTGGCCCAGGCTCCTTCCCCAGTCCCAGAACGGGGGTCTCATCTCCCCTTCCAGAGGAGGGAGAGAACGTGATGGCCTCCAGCCTCCTCCCCAGGCTCCAGTTGGAGGGGGGTCCCCACCTGGCCCCACTCCCAAAGTGCAATACGGCGCCCAGCCTCCCCATCCCTGTGCTGTGACCTGCGTGTTTGTGCGGCCCCAGTCCTGACACCTGCCCCGTCGAGGCCCCCTGGGGACAGGGAGCTCAGAGCAATAACCCCGCCCCCAGCCCCCACCCAGGAGGGCCCCCCAGCTCCCCATGACCCCTGGTAGCCACCCTCAGAGAGTTTACTACAAAAATAAAAGGAGAATGGAAGTGTGAGAAGTGGGGTGCCTAGCGTGTGGGGGGACTTGGAGGAGGGTGTGGGGAGTAACTGTTGAGACACAGGAGCAGCCGAACGAGTAACTAAGAGGTGGGCAGGAGCTGCAGAGGGACACGTGGGGCACCCAGAAGCCACCCGGCCGGGGTGCCAGGGCCCGCCGCATCGCACACACGGGCCTCTCCTTACGTAATATATATTAAAAAATAAACCTCCGATTCTGGATATAAAAACAGAGCAAAGGCACTTGGGGGTGGGGATGGAGGGCTGGGCCCTCCAGGCAACACTGACATGGCCCAGGAAAAGGGTTTGGCTTTGGTGCCCCCCAGAACAAAGCCCTGAGTCCCCCAAGCAGGAGGCGGGAGGGGAGAAGGCCGAGGCGGAGGGGCGCAGTGGCCCGCGTGGCCTGGCCCGCGTGGCCTGGTGGCCGGCTCCTCCCTGGCCCTTGGGGCTGGGGCGGCGCAGCGGGCTGTGTGGCGGGGCCTTGGTCCTCTCGCCTCCGTTCCCTTCCTTGTGGAAGGTCCGAGGGGTCTAGAGAGATGGAGAGAAGCCGGGATAAGAGAAAAGGAAGGTGGGGGTGAGAGCCCCCAAGAGCCAGAGAAACAGTGACCGAGATGGAAAATTGGGGAGATCAGGCCTGAGGGGGAGAAACCAGGGGGCCCCCTGAGGCACCCACTCCGACCCTCATCTCCAGGTGATGCTGCCCCATCCCTGGGCCCCCACTCACCTGCCTGGGGCAGGGAGCCTCAGGTGCAGCCGGGCTGGGGGACAGTGACGTCCCTGAACTGACACACGACCTGCCGCAGGCGGCACAATTCCTCCTCGCACACCTGGTTGAGGGGCGCAATGAGAGGGGCCCTTCCACTGAGTCACCCCCCGCCCCCCATTTCCAGGCCACCACCTCAATCTTTTTAAGGTCCTCCTCCAGTCCTGACAGTTTCTCTTCCATCTCCAGTATCCGGGTGGAGCTCTGGGGACCACCCCCTGGGCTTCCTTCCCCTTCTCGGGGAGGCCCCACCCCATTGTCTTCCTCTGCCAGGAGCTGCCTCAGGGACCTCACTGGCCAGGGCAAGAAGACAGAATCAGGCTGAGGGGCTGGAAGGAGCCTGGGGGAAGGGTGGGAAGGGCTTCTGGGGGAGGGGAGGGTGGGCACCAGGGGGTTGAGTTCTGGGTGAGCCAGGTCTGCAGGTGGGGCCCAGGATGGGAAAGTGGGGGGTGGTGGAGGTGGGGCTGTGGTTAAGGTCCGAACCGGGAGGGTCAGGATGGAGATGTATCTGGCTTGAAGGTCCAGGGAGGGATGAGGCTGCAGGGGGAGACTCGGGCCACCAGGCTGGCGGGGGCCGGAGGGGGCGCTTTCTGGAGGCACAGCCGCGGGGCTGGGTTACCTTTCTCAAGGGCGCTGGCAGCGAGTTGGCCCTCGGGGCCGGATCTGCAGAAAGGCTGGAGGGCACTGAGGAATCTCTCCATCCGGCCTAGGTGGAAGCAGGGAGGGTGCTCAGATCCCGCCAGGCTTCCAGTAGACACCCCGCACCCTCCAACCCCAGAGCCCCGAAGACTCGCCATCAGCTGGAGGTATCTCTCGGCCACCATTGCCGTTCTCAGAACTGCTGAGCAGGGGTTCTCGGGTACTGTGGGGAGGAAGGAATGGGTGACCCCACACCCCTGACCCCAGGGTGTGGCGGGGGCGGGGAGACCACAGAGCTGGAGGTGGGGAGGCAGGGGGGGTCCAGAGACAGACAGAGTCGAGGCTGGGGAGAGGGAGACAACCCAGGCCCCGGGAAGACAAACGCCTGCCCAGGGACAGACAGGCCGCGGTGGGTCCACACACGCACCCCCACCCACATGCATGGGGCTGCCGCTGGGGTTCTGGGGACCCCGGCCACCCCTGCCCTGCCAGCTTTCCAGCTCCTTCCCTGGCTTCCCTCACCTGCTTGGGCTGGGCCGGGGTTTGGGGCGGGAGGCAGGGGCAGGGACCTTCAGGGAGCCAGCAGTCTCCGTGATGAGGGCGCACCAGCTGCGGGCACAGACCCAGCCGGGCAGTCAGAGCCCCGCCCCTGTGCCAGAGCTGCCCCCACCCGCCTGCACCCTGCTGGGCCCGCCTCACTTCTTCCGCTCTGACACGGACTGTGCCACCAGCTCGTAGATCTGGGCCTCCTGGTCCCAGGTGAAAATGACGTAGAAGGCTTTGTGATCTGTGGGGGGAGGCATGGCTCAGGCAGGGCCCCCATGTGTGGCCTCAGGCCTCATGACTCGGTTCCCCCAAGCAGTCAGGAAATAAGCCCCCCAGTCTTGTCCCACCTGTGCAGCCGGAGTGGTTTATTTACGATCCCTCCTCGCTGTCCCCCCTTTCTTGCCAGTTCCCCACCGATCCCAAGGGCCAGTGAGACTTAGCGCCTCTGTGCAGACACCGGGCAGTGCACACTTCACTCAGTAGCATCCGGGCCCTGCCTGCCTGCTCTTGGGCCCTGCCCTGGGGGTACCGGCCCCCGAGGGTGCCCCGCTGTGATGGGCTGCCACCCGGCCTGGGCACAGGCCTCCCACGCGAGCCTCACCGGTGGCCACCTCGCGGGTCATGGCCGACGTGAGCCGCAGCACCGGCCGCAGCATGGTCTTGCCGTCGGGCGTGGGTGTCAGCGTCCTGCTGTGGGACTTGAGCAGCAGCCGCTCGTCCTGGCGCTGCAGCAGCAGCAGCAGGTCGTCCAGCAGCAGCACGTGCACCTCTGCGGGGGAGCCAGGCTCAGCACCCCGCAGCCCCCCCGGCCTGGCCCCGCGCCGCGCTGGCCCCGTGCCAGACTCACCCACAGACTTGTCCTTCGTCACCCGCCAAGTCAGCGGGCCCTCGTGGACCAGCTTCTTCTTGGTGATGTCCAGGTTCTGGACAAGGAGAGCAGTAGTGGGTGCAGGCGGGGAAGGCGGGGTCAGACACGGCAGGCTGGGAGTGGGGGGGGGGGGCAGGAACGGGGGTCGGGGGGCAGAGGGGCCACCTTGAACTCGCTTAGCATGGGGTCGCTGCTCTGCCGCAGGTGGGACAGGTCCAGGCGCCGCTGATATTCCTTGAGCCTCTGGGGCAGGGAAGGGGGTGTCAGGGGATGAGCCCGGCCGGACCGCAGACTTGAGCCGCAGGCCGGGCCGGCCCGGCCACGCCAGGCTCACCAGCAGGTCCTCCATGTCCCGTACGGATTGGTTGACGCACTGCAGGATCTCCCGGCAGCACTCGGCCGCCCGCTCCACCTTCTCCCGCTCCGCAGGCTCTTCTGCCAGCGAGAGACACCAGCACCGGTGAGCCCCAGCTGGGCAGCTGGGCCCCACCCCGGGCAGGGCGGGAGCGGCCGGGCGTGGGCCCGCCTACCTGTGTTCTGTCCGATGCTCTGCAGGAGGAGGGGGTACTTGGTCAGCCGCTGCATCTCGGTGGGGATCATGTCCTTCAGCTGCAGGCGGCGGCACCGCGGGCGGCTCTCGGCCTCCTGAGGGGACGGTGGCGCTGAGGCGGCCGTGTGGGGGCTCGCCCGGACACCCTCCTCTGAGGGACAGGACCCAGAGCCCCCACCTCACCTGCACGAAGGCGCAGAACCGAGGTTCCTTGCGCTGTTTGGATTTGAGTTGCTCTAAGGCAAAGGATTGGCGGCTGCAGAAGCGGGAGGAGATTTTCTGGAACCAGGAGCCCTCGGTACCATCAAACTACAGTGAGATGCAGGCCAGGGAGGGTGTCTCAGGTGGGGCTGGGGACACAGGGCCTCGGGGCGGGGGGGCGCCTAGACAGGACGCCAGAGCTGGGGCCGGGGTCCTCACCCGGGCCAGCAGCACGTCGCCGATCTCCTCAATGAGGAAGCCGCTGTCCTGCCTCCGCTTCATCAGGCGATCAAGGAACAGGGCTGTGGGGAACCGTGACAAGGGGGATGCTACCGGACTGTGTGGAGAGCACACGGGGATCTATCCCGGGGCCGGCAGACCCGTCCCCCCGCCACGTGCTCACGGCTGTGTCCCCTGGAACGTGAGCTCTGGGGGCCCGCGGGGCTAGAGCACGGGCCGCCGGGGTCGGGGGCTCAGGGGGCAAGCGGCGGGCCCCAGGTCTGGTGGCGAGGTCTCCCCGGCAGGGTGGCTCGGGGTGTCGCGCTGGGGCTGAGCACTCACAGTGCACCTCGATGAGCTCGTCCAGGCTGGGGAAGATGTTCTGGAGCTCCTCCAGGGGGAAGAAGCCCCCCTCCGCCATGGGCTGGTAGAAGAGGTCGTGAAGCACCCGCAGCATGCGCACGTGGGCTGCCTCCGTCACCAGCAGCTCTGCGGGCGCCAGGCAGGAAGCAGGGTTGGGAGGGGCACACTCTGGGGGTGCGGTGTCAGAGATGGCGGGGCACGAGGCGGCGCCCACGGGATGGGGCTGGTCACGTGCTCCGGGGACTGCCCGACTGTCCCTCGAGTCCCGACCTCGCGCTGTGCTCCAGCCTCGTCTCCCTCACAGCCGATGCCCTCTGCCCCCGGGCTGACACTGGGTCTAGGGGTCCCCTA